TGAAATTAGTTAACTATTATAGCACAAGAACCGTTTAATATTTAATGTTGCTTTTAAACGAAGATATTTAATGCTTTGAAAAATAAAGCTTTCTTACTACGTACATATACTTCTCACAAAAAATTTAGTCCCCCTCTGGAAAGGCCACCCGCCTTATAAGGCCACTTTCCCGGTGCAGAAGGGGTGGCCGTATAAGAGGGGGACTACTGTACTGTAAAGGTAATTTCATGTTGTCAGAAATTTTGTCGTGCTTTATTGATAAAACTGCAGGCTCCTAGCGATGACCTATATATCTTTTTAAATATATATAGTTTTTTTTAACTGTTCCTAAAACATTTTTTTCTTCATTTTCAGTGCAGAAATATGAGATTATCCTGGACCTTACTGCCAAAATGCAGGCATCAGTGTTGATACAGTATCATCAAAATCTTGTATAATTATTCACAGACAGTCAAATGGAATTGTGATATAAATTTTCAACTTGTATAAGAAAAATAATCGTACATTTGCTGAATTTTGCCGATTCTGGACGTCAGTGGACATTCTCAAAGCATAGAAAATTTGATGCACTGTTTACAATGTATGCCAATGTTTTCTTCTGAATTAAATGATGTGTTAACAAATATCTTATCCAGTATATCAATTGTATGGTAAAAGAAAATTTTTTTTTAACACCTTATATTCTTCCCTATACTGAAATCATGTGGACATTGTTTAATTTACTGCAGATATTTGAATTCTACAGGCAAAATTCTATAAGACTTCCATGTTTCATGGAGATATCTTGCTTAGATCAAAAGTTATGATAGAAATACTTATTTTATTAAATGTGTCAGGTCCATGACTCAGAAGAATTAAACATACATTTATAAAAGGCAAAAATTCACCAAAAAACCAGTTTTTGCCAGTATTCATATAGTCGTAACTTTTTAAATAATCATCATATTTAAAAACTTAAAACTGTTCTGAAAAGATCTGAATGAGCTCTATAAGAATCAACCATTAAAATGCAAATATATTGACTTTGTAATTTTGACTGGGGTTGCTGGAGGAATACTCAATTTTTTTCATAATAGATCAAAAAACATGTTCAAAATTTGTAATATTAAGCTAAAAAAGAGACGGGTGTGAATCATACCAGGCTGCTCCAGTAACACACATAGACTCATGCTAGGTGTCCACAAAAGGACTAAGGTACTAATATTAGTACTAGTGTGTAATATTCCTAAATATTTGACTTTTGTTACACTGTTTATCTACATCAAAACACTTCACAGCGGCTTTAGTCAGGCAGTAAAATCAATCACCCATCCAGAAGAAAAATATCTGGGTGATGGGGATTACGTTGTAGGAATAGGTTCAGGTCTTACATAACAAGATTAATACCCCTAGTCTTGCTATCCTTGTTCCATGCTTTCTTTGCCTTGACGAAATCTATTGTCATATTGAATGATGAAGTAATACCAAAATATAACTGTACCAACTTGATGGTTATAAGTCAAAACATACAAATAAAAACAAACCTGCAAACACAAAAATACAGTGACTGGATCTACTCGAATTTTCGAAAGCACACCAGGCAGCCATCTTGGATTTCTCCATCCTAAATTTTTGTTGTATTTGACAGGAAAACCTTAAGACTATCATCTAAATATAAGAATTTTAACACAAATTTAAACTATAATCAAACCTGATTTATATTTTAGAGCGAATTTCGTCAAGCAGCAAGCAATCAAACCGGGCATGCTGAAAACGAAAATAGGGTAAATCTACAATGACAAGATCTTGGACGGGAACAAGCATGCAACAATTTCATACAAGCCATGTTCATACCTTTCTCTTTTCAAGATTGCGGACTTTTTTGTCCACAACAGCAAGAGCTTGTTTGATCGGTTCATTGACCTCTAATGAGGCCTTAATTTCAGCTTTTGAAGAGGCAGCGGGCATCCTTCTACAGCAACAACCTGCATATACTTTCTCACGTGGTTTCCAGTTCTCTCTCTCCATCTACCCTTTTCTCTACTGACCGTAAATGAGTGCAATCACTCCAAGTGAATGGTAAGTTTAATAATATTTATCATACCTCATTGTTGTTAACGCAAAAAGTATTATTAAATCCGATTTTAGTTTTTGAAAAATGTATAGCCAGATTTTTATTTTGTAGAGATTGTCATTCCTTTATCGTACCACATTAACCAAGGTATAATGACGTCATCTATCCCTCCTACCAAGCGCCCTCGAAACAAAGAATACTCTACTCGTAGCTGTTGTACCACTGCGCAGATTATGCTGTATATCCTAAAATAGAGATGTACTTGCTTTATACGGTAACAGTTGCTAACGGTGAAGTTCGAAGACAGTACAATGAATTACACACAAATTTAGGAAGAGAAACCATTCCAAATGAATGAAATATAAGCAGAAAGAAAATATAAACCGTGAAGATGCTACCTACCTACCTTATTACATACATACATACATACATACATACATACATACATACATACATACATACATACATACATACATACATACATACATACATACATACATACATACCGTGGAATCCTGATCAGATTTATAAATAGCAATCTCACAAGAATTACAATACTTTCTCGGCTGGTACATCATCATGCACTTTTTCATGCACTTTATGCAGGACCGGATTAAGCGAGTGCAGGGCCTGAAGCATACGTTAAAAAGGGGCCCTAATTATTTATTATTTTTTTTAAAGAAACCCACATAAATATTAAACAGATAAATTTTACTTGCATGGTAAAGTAATTGTATTATTTCAGTTGCTATACAGCCAGATAATAACGACAAATATGTCTGACATTTCAGTAAAAGTATTATTTACATGCAGGTTTGTTATCATATGCTGTTTCTGCCAATCGGATAATCCGGCGCCGCGTTTACGTCAACTTACGCGCGCGCATGTCGTTAAAAGGATATATATTCAGCATAATATAATATTAGCCACTTTACAACTACGAATGAGATATCAATAAGGTTAGTAGTGAATGGAGGCAACCTGGCGGCACTCTGGCGACAAGGGACATTTAACATAGGTAATGTATAGCAACAAATGTATTTCGCCTAACACAAGTGGAATTGGAGAGGGGTGACGACTTGAGTTAGAGCAGAGACATAGACATACATAGATTGATCAACATAAATCTATGAATCGAAAAACTATACAACCGACTTAAAGTTTAAGGCAAGAGAGAATATGCGTCTTTTTGAGACAATTAGGAGGGTTGCTCCTTATTCTTCTACTGTGTCTCTTCTCTTGTTTTCCATCAGTTCTTCTGCACTACATTTGTTTTCTTCTTCTCATCATTTCCCTCATCTTCCTTCTGCTCTACCTCCTTTTTTTTCATTTTCTTTCTCTTTCATTATTCCTCTTGATCCTCCTTTTCTTTTTTACCCTTTTGATTAGTTCCTTTAGTCTTTCTATTGCCGCCTCAAATTGTTGCTTTCCGTGTGTGACTCTGTGGTGGCTAAGAAGCAACATTTCTAGCATTTCCTCCACCATTTCCAAATAATCCAGTGCCCCTTGCAGTTTCTATAATTTCTCTAGGATATTGCTTGCCATCTTGGATTATTCAATGATGAATGGCACAACTGATTTGACGTTTAAATTAAGGTCGCATGCGCCAATAAGGCATGAGCAATCGGTTAATAACTCCCGTACGGGGGGTTAATTAATTGTTCGCCGGGGAAGGAAAGAGTGTATCATACCCAGCGCATTTATGCACTCAAACAGTCCTATTTAATTAAGCCAACAGGTCGTGGGACAATAAAGTCTCAAACGACCTGTATGTAGAGCTATCAGGAGTGGGACTAGACCGACCAAGCAGTCATAGGTATATTTAAGGTGTCTACCACAGAAGAATGAGATCTCGAGCGTGATTGGACACAGCTATGATGACGTCAACCTAATTTCGTGAGTGCAAGTTCATCGGGGCACCTTGTTTCTAGACGAGTGGAAATTGTCCCATACACTCGTCCTTTTGATTGTCCGAAGTAAATGGAGGGAAGGGACTCGGGAGGATACGCCAAACGTGGACCGAAATGTACTTGAAATGCAATGACCTGCTATACATCAAATTTGTGTAATTATTTCGATTCCCTATAACTAATTCTGTGATAACCAATGTAAGTAGAGACACACAATATTAATGTAGAATACAATTTTCTTATTTCCTAACTAACAAATGAACGAGTGCATAGTGTATGTAATGCAATTAGTAATGTTTGCTGCCGATGGAACAACAAGATCAACATTTTCAAAGAAATAAATTCTGAAATCATCTCCCGATATAACAACTAAAACTTTTGAAAGATTTTTATTAATTATTTTCGGCTAATACAACTATGACACCGCAACATTATTGTGACCTATGTTTCCTTTGATCTTCTTCTTATAAGTGACAGTCCTGACTAAAAAAAAAAAAACAAAAAAAAAAAAAAAATTGCGTGATAAAGTGATAAAGCTGTTTCTTATATTGTTTATAACATTAGTCGGTCAACCATTTCCGCGTTTGAAGTAAACACTTTCACACCATAGCCACGTTTCTCTTATACTCGCTATTTGTCAAGAATATTTGCTAGCGTGCATAATTTTTTTTTCTACCATCATTAAAACCTTCATTAGCTAATATTTTTGTGATAGCTTTAAGATAAAGCCTAGCAATAATACAGTTTCGATATCCGTAATACAGTCTGATAATTTTATCAAATTTCCTCGGCATTATCTGCATTGTCAATTCCTATTTTTTCCAGACGGTCGGTTAATTCCTTAGTTTTTGTGTGGATCAGTTTTAATGTCATTAACTTTTTCTATGATATTATTCATATCATCAAACGTTTTGTACTCATTATTATTAATTTCACTCCGTGATCTTGTAATCAAACTGTATATTATGTTCATGCGTTGAAGCTATTTTTGTCCCCTCTTTTTGTTCCATTTGTTCCATTCTTTCATCATCATTCCCGTGGCATAATGGTTAGAGCGTCCGCCTCGGATTCGAGAGGTTGTGGGTTCGAACCCCGGCCAAGTCATACCAAAGACTTAAAATGGTACTAACATCTGCCTCGCTTGACGCTCAGTATTAAAAGGTTAGTGTTAGGACTGGTCGGCCTGGTGTCAGGATAATGTGTTTGGGTGGGACATCATTCCACATGTCTGCGGCATGATGCCCCAGTGCTAGACATCACTATAAAACTATCACACTGAAGACATAGTAGCGATATGACTGAACAATTGTTAAAGCTGCGTTAAAAATCTAAATCACACACACACACACACACACACACACACACACACACACATCATTCTTTCATAAATTCTTTCAGGTACGTGGTTCAGCTTGTTCCACAATTTTTAACAGCATTTTCTGTTTTCGCCTTCTGGTTTTATTCAAGTAAACCTAACAAACCTTTCCCTTGTATTTTTTTTTTTAAATCGTCGGCTGATAACGTTGATGTATCTGGTTGATTGCTAAGTACAGCCTCGCTTACTGGTTTGAAAAGCTTGTTTACCGGAATAAAAATTGTATAAACAATTATATCATCACCTATACCAAGCTCATAGCTAAGCTTATCGTTGTAATCATCAAGTAACTTTTATTTTTCTTATTGTGGATTAACTGTGTAAATATACACCTGATCATAGTTAAAGAAGTTGTCGTTAAGCAGGGGGTTTATTAGCAAATTTGTCTTGTCATATCCTATACAACCAGTAATAAGATAATGACAATCGGGTAAATCGTTATGTTTGTGCTTGACTAATCGCTCAGTATCAAAGTTTAGCATTAATATTGCGATCATTACTACCACACAAATTTATCAGCATAAAGTTTTTCTGCATTAAAAGAATAAGCAATGAACCATTACACAAAATTCGGAACAACATTAACCAGGTCGGACACAACTGTAACAACAAACGGTAGAATGAATTGATCTATTAGGGTCTGTCCAAAATTCCAACATTATCACGTTATATCAGAGTAAACCAAGCGTATTCAAACTTTTCCCTTTAACATTTCTTGCAACGAAATGATTCAGTTTCAAAAATATGAATATAAAGATGAATTCCTACTTTATATTCATTAAAGTTTATATACAAATTTTAGTATTTACAACCGTTCTTTGATTAGGTACACCAAAGTTACATTTTGTGTACCGTTGATTATAGTTTCTGCTCTGACAATTTAGTCCATTATATTTCATGGTTATCTAGTCCGATCTTGTGACATCTTTTAGTCCATTATATTTCATTGTTGTAGAGTCCTGAGTTGAAAATTATAGAGAGGGTATTTGCTTGAAACGAGTCAATAATTGATATATTTGATCCAGCTGGTGAAAATACTTAAGTTTCACCTACGAGATGATATATATCCGTTAATTACCCGGAGCAAGAAATGTTTCTTTTTATTGTAGCGACTTGCTCTATATATATATATATATATATATATATATATATATATATATATATATATATATATATATATATATATATATATATATATATATATATATATATATATATAACACATATTAAAATAGCCGATCTGTTACTATATCAGCGCAATAATGACGTTTGCATTCTGCGTGCTTTGTGTGTATTCTGAGGTACCATACTTTTCCTTTATAACTCGAGGCAAAACAGCACATAAATAAAAAAAATTATGAATAAACAAAAAAAAAAAGAAAGAAAAAGTTTGAATATTATTGGATACGAGGCGGTCATACTCACCACTAGACCATGCAAATGTATAAAATATAGATTAAATATTTGGTCATAATTATCGACGCGGCAGTAAAAATATTTATCGCATTTCACTCCAGTGAAATGTCAGTATTATTTCACTTGGAAATTCTATTAATTCACGGCCTAGCATGAAACAAAGGATATCATATATTTCTTAGTGAGATACTGAAATGTAACGGTTGGAGAAAGTTGATATCATCACAGTGGCTATACCCACAATTGTTGCCACAGTGGTTATACCAGTTTAGTCACCAAAGAGACGATATCACTTTTAGAACTACTTTTTTCTTATTTAGGAAGTATATCCTTGCTCTCTCTCTCTCTCTCTCTCTCTCTCTCTCTCTCTCTCTCTCTCTCTCTCTCTCTCTCTCTCTCTCTCTCTCTCTCTCTCAGGATGTACAGTTCTTAAAATCTGTAAGTTGTACGCCCTCTAGTGTAAATTTACGCAATTAATGAGGTGCCATCAAGAAAAGCTTAACACATAACTCCAGTCAGCAAAAAGCAGACTTTTTGTAATTAGTACTCTACGTGAATCATGGAAACTGCCAGTGACTGAACTTACATGACATGTGCAGGGCTGGATCGATGGTGGGGTCAGACACTCTGAGGGAGTGTACACAAAAAAAGTACACAATCAAACGTACAGTCACTTGTTACTTGAAATTTTACCATCATTTTATTCTTGCGCATGTTTATGGGGTATCACGCACGTTTTAAGTAAACAAACACACATACTTTTGCTTTAGTGCTCGTTCGAGGAACGTCAGATCTTTTTTTTTTTTTTTTTAAATTTTGGAAACCCACCACCAACATCAACACTTGACCTTATCCAGCCCCAATGTCTTACTGATACTGTATCGTATGTCTGTAATACTCAGGACAAACTGTACAATTTATCCTGTATATATAATGTAATACATTATTTTAAGTAGCGATGGATAATCGGGCGTAGATTAGAGTTGATTACAAACAAAATTAAATTGGATACCATATCTGGTACCAAGCTAGACTGGAAGCTTGCCAAGACTATTCTTAAATGTAGAAATTTTCAAACTGAGGACTGAAATCTTTACAAGTAAACTCACAATCATTAAAAACTTTGTTTAAAGATATTATGCGCCGAAGTCGGTCAGATATAATCGCTCTGCTATGTTTATTGTTACCCCATCCAACAGTATCAATCCGCGCATGAAATTCGTAATCCAAAAATGATTTAATTTTCGTACAAATATAGTATTTATTATAACAAAATACAGAAATTGTTTCATAATATGTACAAGTTAGGTTTGGAAAACGTCGCTGTCCGAAATTTACTTTAAAATTTAGAAATATTGTTATCGAGTTCGTAATGCATCTGTAAATCGCAATGACACAGAATTGAGAAAACCCATGCAAATCGACGACATTTGACTTAAAATATATAATAAAAAATAAACTCTACGTGTTTTGATTCGATTTACTTATTAATTATTTAACTCGTGAATTTTAAGCATTTTTTATTGTCACTATGTGAACAAAAAAAGAAAAAGAAACGAATATATTCTTTATATATTAGCTCGATTCTATTTTATATTAATGTGGTTTTTATTTTGTCCACGAATCTGAAATAAACGGTGGGGGTTTTTTTTCTTCTTCAAATACATGAAACATTGTCTCCTTGTATAAAGCAATCTCATTGTTGGCATAGTCTTTAATGCCCGCAGACGAGTTTGTAGAAACAAACTAAAATAAGGATGGGTGGTGTCTTTTTTAGGCTCATATTCTTTATTCGTAGACTGAAAAACAGTAGTCTCAACGATTAAAGATCCAAAGTAAAAACCATGATTCGGGCACTTTATCCTGTAATGGCTTGTGTTGTAAACCATTTTATCAGAAATGTAATAATTTGTTCCAAATTTCATTAATTCGTTCTTTGATTTTGCTCTTTTTCTTCTTATTTTACTTTTGTTTACTTGGAGCAATCGTTCTCCATACCGAAATGTTTCAGGGTATTCTATGTGAGACGTTAGTTGTGCTTAACACAGGTTTCACAAAAAAAAGAAAGAAATACTGCAATAATTATATATGTTAATGTTCATGTTTGACAGTATGTCTGCGAACATTAGGAAAGAGTCGAAAGACTCGAATCACTAAATGCAAGTTTTATTATTTATCTAAAGATCTACTTACACTTATCATAGGTTGATCAACTGGGCACTCATATATGTAAAGGGTTTACTGCCATAATATTATGCGTGTAATTTCTAATCTTCCATGATGCATTATTGTAAATGGCCGCTACTTTATTAATTCTATTCATGAATATTGTATTCTTCATTGATGCAGATCGTACGTGGCAGTTTGCAAGTGCAACTTTCCTTTTTATTTATTGTAAATGGCTGCTTATAAGTGCTACATTCATAATTATAGATATGAATTTTCTATTCTTCATTGATGCAAGCTGTAAATGGCTGTTTGCAAGTGCTTAAAACTGCTTCCCTTCTGTGTCATTGTATCTTGCCAATTACTGAACTCATTCTGTAGTTTGTTTTATGACAAACGCTATGCAAGTTATTACAAGTATTGTATATTCTGTTCATAAACTTGCCTTATCACAAATTACATAGATTGCACCTTCTACAATTATGGTTATAATGTAGCATCAAACACGTTGCAAATTAGCATCATGGAAGTTAGCATTAAATAATGTCTCATTATGACTACAGATGGCGCTGTGACAAGCCAATTCCTTACAATACGATTACTCCCCTTACCCTGGCAACAAGAGTTATACCAATTTGTTTGGAGTCTTACTCAAACTATCGATCGATTATATTGCCGCGTTACAGTCAACTTGTTTATTATAGTCTCATTCATAACGCTATTAATTTAAAGCATGTTTATTATTGTAGAGTGCAGTGCACATTCTGCTTTTTGTATCAGTAAAGACCTCATAAGGTTTAAGCAAATTACAGATAATTGCACACAAGGCCATATTTCTCGTCCTTGTTTATGAGAGAGAGAGAGAGAGAGAGAGAGAGAGAGAGAGAGAGAGAGAGAGAGAGAGAGAGAGAGAGAGAGAGAGAGAGGATTTTGTTTATTCTCTTATCTCTATGAAATTATTTTTTTTCTGCAATGTATAGTGGCAGTATATATATATATATATATATATATATATATATATATATATATATATATATATATATATATATATATATATATATATATATATAACAAGACGTAAGGTAAATATTAAAATTATACAGACTTGTTATATTTGCATGGCTTGGATGATGATGCTAGCAAGTAT